TTCCCCCATTGGGGGGAGATGGGCAGTTGAAAAATTTAATAAATAAATAAATAAATAAATATTGGGTAGGAAATGGGATTCCTGAAGCTCCTTGCTGGCTTGCCTGCAGTTTGTATGGTTGGCTATATAGTACACTGTTTGGTATGTTTGCATTCAGTCACTGCAGGAAGTATATTACACACAATTTTAAGATAAGCTCCAACCACCGATACTTGTTGCATGAAACACCTGCCTGTTTTATTATGAATGGCATGAATTGGCAACTAATTTTATGATGAATGACTTGCTAGTTGACTTGTTAAGGAATATTGACTTCATCTGTCATGTCTACCATCTCAACGTGTAATGTTTGAGATATCTTGATATTCAACTTCCCATTTTACAGGTGATATTTTAACAGTAGGAGGCAATGTTGAAGGCTGAATTGTTTGTTTACTTGATTATACCTTGATTTTATATTCTGGTAAGTGCTTAGGGTGGCTCATGAATTTCAAAAACAAAAACAGAACATAAAAAAACTCAGGATAAAATTAATATTAAAATAGGTCCTAAAGTAATGTATAGACAGAACAGGAAGTCACAGTACAGATGGAATGTGGTGAGACAGAGTGGGTCCAGGTCAGCAAAGGAGTGAGACAAGGCTGTATACTCTCTCTTATTTATTCAGCCTATATGCTGATCATACACTGAAGGAAACTGGATTAGAAGAAGATGAGCATGGTTTTAAACTTGGAGGAAGAAACATCAGTAACCTGTGATATGCTGATGACACTACTCTTAGAAGAAGATGAGCATGGTTTTAAACTTGGAGGAAGAAACATCAGTAACCTGTGATATGCTGATGACACTACTCTGGTAGCTGAAAATGCAAATGATCTGTAAGCTCTAGTAATGAAAATGAAGGAACACAGAGAAAGCATATGACTAATATTAAATATAAAGAAGCCAATGTCAGCAGGTACAGCAACCAAGCTTAGAATTGACAATGAAGATTCTGAAGTTGTGGATGGCTTCTACCTTTTAGGATTGACTGTCCTTTATTGTAAGGCTACATTAACAGAATCTTGCAAGTCTGAAAGTACAATTCTCCCGCCATCATCTTTACAGCTCGATAACTTAGGGAGGGTCACTTCTGAACCTCCTGCTCCACCCACTATGCAGCTGTGGGCTATGCTCCCTCTTATCTGACCATTTCCTAGGCAGCATCTCCTTGCCTAGTCTCCCAAGGTCATTCCCACATACCATTACATCCCCCCATTTCTTATGTTGCAAGTAGAGGGAGAAGGAAAAGACCCATATTCCCATGTTGCTGGTTTAGTGCACTTTTTTTAATCACAGAAATTAAACAAATAGTAGACATTCCTTTCACTTCTCTCCTTCACAGGATGAAAAATGATTGCGACATGCTCTGTGGAAAAGACCTTCACAGTTGCCAAGTGGTGTTTCTGCTAGGTTCCCCTGGGACCTGAAGCACCTGAAGACTGTCCCCGATGTGACTTCAGACCTTGGCACTTACCCCAGGACTTCCTGGCACAATCTTGATCCAACTGAGCATTTGGAAATTAATTCATTTCAGTTGCAGTGTTTTAATTTTGATGTTCCAATGGGAACCCTGTTGAATGGAAGGGAACTCACTTCTGAATAATAAGCAGACACAATAAGCTTGAGTAACACATGGGCTGTAAATCTAGTTAGTTGAAATAAAGAGGATCAAAAGTGCTTAATTTTAACTGGGTTGTGCCCAGTTAACATCCAACACATATATGTTATTGATTTGCATCTTTAAAAAGCTATCTGTGCACCTAGGCATATACAAAATCAAATATTGCTGTAAGCTATACTAGTATGTGACAAGATAGGTCAGCAACAATAAATATTTAATTAGAGTCATCAGAGCCCTGTAATCTGCTTCAGTAAGGAGGCTTGTGAGTGGTCCTGTCCTTACAGCTTTACTGTGAGAATTTATGGGCAGTGATTGGTAGATTCTTCTAGCTTTGTTTTCCTTCCCACTCAACATTAACAGCTGGCTGGAAAAATCACACCAATTGCTTTTCTTAAGGTGGTGCAGGGTGGGCTTGGGCGAGTGGGAGTGGGTGTCAGCCTTCCCAGGTAGACCAGACAGGAAACACGACCAGATAAGCTAATTCTACTTTATTGTAAGGCTACATTAACAGAATCTTGCAAGTCTGAAAGTACAATTCTCCCGCTGTCACCTTTACAGTCCAATAACTTAGGGAGGGTCCCTCCTGAGCCACTTACTCCACCCACTATGCAGCTGTGGGCTATGTTCCCTCTTAGGTTGCCTCTTCCTGAGGCAGCATATCTTTGCCCAATCTCCAAAGGTCTTTCCCACATACCATTACAGTGGGTGCCTGGGATGGAGGCTTTAGCCACCAATCAAGTTGTCAGAGACAAGTTGCCAGCACAGAGATGCTCTGTCTAGTAACCTATCACTTGGGCTATTTCTGAAATTGGGTGTCCAAAAATTCTCCTGCAAACTGGTTGGTAGGACAAAGCTGGGTTGTTCAGTGAAGCAGAGGACCTCACATAGCAAGTTGAGAGAACTCTCTCCCTCCTGATCCTGGGCCATATTCCAACCCACCAACCTTGTTGATTAGACTACTTTTGGACAAGGCTTTAACAGTTTTTCAGAAGACTAGAACCCTGGTTAGACACTTCTATCAGTTTGTTTGTTATTTGAGCTAGAAGGGGAAATGGGCAGAATTCTAGTCAATTTCACATCAACTCCCAGACACAACATCCCAAATTCTGCAAATATTAATACCCGGGAGTTTCCATGGAGTCCCCAGCATGGCTTTCAAGTAGGAAAGATGGTGCTGCCTCCCTCCCAAAGTCATAAAAACAGTAGAAAGCAGAGCCATGCAAAACTTGTCAGCAGGAGCAGCAGAAAATATGTAATGTATTCATTAGAGACAGAATAGGCAATACACATCTGGCCCATTTTAAATCAACTGACAACACCCCTCCTCCATTTAAAACATACAGGTCTAGGAACATGTGTTTTAATAATGTGGTGGTCTTCTAGAAGACTGGTAGAACTGTGTATATAAGAAGCCCCCATAATGCCTTGATGGCACTTTGCAAAGTCAGGCCAGGCATTATATAGGCAGTTGCTTCCATGGAAGCTAGGTATCCAGCTTCTCTGGCAGCCTAACCCCAAATGATCATTTGTAGTGCCTAGTGAGTGGAGGAGGGGGCTCAGGTCTGCAGCAGCCTCAGCCAGCTAATAGGAGTTTGGCAGATGCCAGCTCTTGACAGCATCATCATGAATGAGTTGTTGTAGATAGTTCACATGCCAAGTTTGTATTGGGCGAAGATGGAAAGAACTATTCTAAAACTGGAACAGCTAAAGACAGAACAGGCTTTTGAATATTGTTCTCCATGCTCAGACACAGAAGTACTGTGGAATGTGAATCTAAATAAAGAATTTTGTTAAAATGAAAAGTTGGCTTCTTGGGAAATCAGGGGTTAGCCAATGGTTGCATCCACTGCTAGTCAAACTCCAACGTTTCCTTTGCATTAATCAGCCTTAGCATTTGTTCCATTGTGATATGCCAGAGAAGTATATTATTGTTCCTCTCCAAGCAAACTCTAAAAGCAAAATAAAACACATATTGCAAATGTGTGAGAGAGATCCTGCTTTGCTGGAGTCCTTTTTTCTTATTTCCCATTCAAACCCAAGCTAAGCAAGCTCTTTGATTATATTGGTTGTGACCAAGGAAGATTTTTGGTTTAAGCAAAGGTATCAAATGAGAAATCTCTGTACTGGAAACTGATTTTGCAAATAAACCCTTCACATTTTTCTGCTGGCAATGCCTGTCCTCTTTTTTTGAGAAGCAAAACACATAATCTAGAGAAAGGCAAGGTGAGGACAAAATCAATTCCATAGTAAGTTGTGCACCTATATTTATATTTTGTTGTTGTTGAAAAATAATACCAGATAAAAGGTCAGAACGTAATGATTACTGGCATTCCTGACTGGCTGAAAGAAGAATTAAATAAATTTTGCCACTAGACAGATAGGATTGGGTGATCCACTTGAGGTTCATTCCAACCCAAAAGGAGATGCTGCTTTTCCCATTTCACCATATGATTTAAATTGCAGTAGATGTTTGCTTAATCCATTAAGCTTTGCCTCCCTGACCATCCTTTCCAACAGCTTTGAAATCAGTGAAAAATATTGGTTATGTCAGTCCCTCAAGCTGGGAGGCAAAATGCCACTTCCTTCTGTATGAACTACAAAACTTACTTAAATGTGAAAGGTGGCTTTCATCCATCCAATTAGAAGCCTGTATGGTTTGGCTGCACATTCCTATGAAAGGAGAAGAAGGGAATTCTCTCTGGTCATTCTCTGATAAAAATGAGAAGACACATTCTGAAATATTTTACTTGCTTGATGCTTTCCAAAGGAGAATAAAGAGATTTTCAGAATTCAAGCCGACACAATGTCTAGGTAAAAACTCATCTCTTATCTTCCAAATATATTGGATTGCAACTGCTGTGATCCATCAGCATATAATGGGATCTAACAATACCTGGGTTGTATTTTAATAACAGAATCTATAGTACTGAATTAATAATATAAAGAGTTTACTAAGCCAAACAAGAATATTTTCTTTGACACAATCCCTTGTGCATAACCTGCAGGATTATGTGCTGATCCTGTACTCCGATAATTGGCAACAGGGACCGTGAATGAAGCAAATCCATATGCATTGGGATCTCATCTTTGTAAGGGAAAGGAATGTTATGCTTTGGTTTTATGATAAGCAATAATCAGTAAATGAAACTCTTCTCAACTCTCCTGGATGGGCCAGGCTGTGAAACCAAGACAAAATTGAATGTGATGCACTGTTCAGAGCAGGAAAAGTGAAACGCTAACATAGCTGTGTAGAAAAAGGTTATATCAGAATCAGTCATCCCCATTCCCACGGGTAGTCAGTTGAGCAGGATCCTTCTTGGGACAATATTGTATTCCCTTTGAGCAATCCATTTATGGCTTGTTTCAATAATAGGTCCTAGATTTGACTAGATTTGTTTGCAAAACCCTTCCCTTCATCACTTGCTCAACTTTGGCATCTGTCATCTAAAACAGCATTTCTCACCCATTTATGCCAAATGCAAGAATTGTACACCTTTTTTTTCCTTGATATGTAGGTAGGTACATGCCCATGTGTGGGTGTGTGGTTACAGTTTCTTACAATTACACCTCTGTGCATGGTTGAAGTTTTCCCATGGATTAAAACTCCCCAACATTGCTGACTGCACATTTCAGCTGTCCCCAACTGCGTGTCCTTCAGCTGCATTAACTTTCAGTCAATGGAATTAGGAATTCCATGGGTTAGAATTGTATATAGTGGGAGGATGTCAGGCTAGGGAATGGTGTGTCATTTCTTGTGGCCACCATGGAGTCTCACTGACCCCAATATTTCCAAACCAGGTACTCCAAAAGCTTCTCTTCCCACTAAATCTAGCTCTGGCTAAAGGTGCCACCCAAATGATCTGGAAAGAACTGGAAAGAAATAGTTGTAAGCCCCAATTACTGTATGCAGTATAAGTGCACCTTGAACATGGTTAGGGTGGGGTTATTGTATATGCATGCATAAGACATGTGGACACACAACACATACAATATTCAGTAATGCGACCTGTCCTCAGTTAACAGGGAGAAAATGCCTTCTGAATTTCTAACATATCTGGATCCATAAATGAGAATTTTGTTATTTACAAACATGCCTTGCTACTTCGTGAACTTCATGTAGCAAACAGTACAGGTAAGCAGACTATATTTTGATCTATGTTATAGAATATGATATGCAGACAGAGATCAAGCTCTCTATCAAAAGCTGGAGAAAATTTTCATCAAACCAGTATTAAGCATGATGCGGCATCACCAGGTATGTTTTATCTAAAGTGATGATTGGGAAAAAAAAGAGAGAGAGGAATAAACAGAGGGATATATTTACTGAATATTTTGTTTTGCTATTCTTGCGTATCCCTTTAATCTGAACCAGTTATTCCCCAAAGGCCTAGTCCTGAAGCATTCTTTGAACCTAATTTTCCCATGGCATCTATGCTCCCAATCAGCAAATATTGATTTTAGCTGACCACAGCATTAGAGTCAATTCCTTGAAGAAACATTTATAGTTTTGAACTATAAATACTAGTATACCGACATTTGAGGGCTTTTGGAAATATTATGGGAATGTTGGAACACCACCACCAAAAAACCACTGAAAAGTATGTTCCTTTGCCCACAGAAATGTGGCCTGCCCTTTTTAAACAAAAAGTCCAGGCCCAGGGCTCACTCCTTACTTCCTGGGCTGTCACTTTCCTAGGGCAGTTCTTAAATTATGTTAAAATTATGCTGTTGTTTTTTTAAAAGTCATATGAGTGCGTATAAATGTACAGTGGGGCAAAAAAGTATTTAGTCAGCCACCAATTGTGCAAGTTCTCCCACTTAAAAAGATGAGAGAGGCCTGTAATTTTCATCATAGGTATACCTCAACTATGAGAGACAAAATGGGGGGAAAAATCCAGAAAATTTAGGTGTTCACTCAAAATCTCATGATACATGGCCCCATTCATTCTTTCCTTTACACGAATTTTCTGGATTTTTCCCCCCATTTTGTCTCTCATAGTTGAGGTATACCTATGATGAAAATTACAGGCCTCTCTCATCTTTTTAAGTGGGAGAACTTGCACAATTGGTGGCTGACTAAATACTTTTTTGCCCCACTGTACATTTATACGAATTTTCTGGATTTTTCCCCCCATTTTGTCTCTCATAGTTGAGGTATACCTATGATGAAAATTACAGGCCTCTCTCATCTTTTTAAGTGGGAGAACTTGCACAATTGGTGGCTGACTAAATACTTTTTTGCCCCACTGTACATTTATACGAATTTTCTGGATTTTTCCCCCCATTTTGTCTCTCATAGTTGAGGTATACCTATGATGAAAATTACAGGCCTCTCTCATCTTTTTAAGTGGGAGAACTTGCACAATTGGTGGCTGACTAAATACTTTTTTGCCCCACTGTACATTTATACGAATTTTCTGGATTTTTCCCCCCATTTTGTCTCTCATAGTTGAGGTATACCTATGATGAAAATTACAGGCCTCTCTCATCTTTTTAAGTGGGAGAACTTGCACAATTGGTGGCTGACTAAATACTTTTTTGCCCCACTGTACATTTATACGAATTTTCTGGATTTTTCCCCCCATTTTGTCTCTCATAGTTGAGGTATACCTATGATGAAAATTACAGGCCTCTCTCATCTTTTTAAGTGGGAGAACTTGCACAATTGGTGGCTGACTAAATACTTTTTTGCCCCACTGTACATTTATACGAATTTTCTGGATTTTTCCCCCCATTTTGTCTCTCATAGTTGAGGTATACCTATGATGAAAATTACAGGCCTCTCTCATCTTTTTAAGTGGGAGAACTTGCACAATTGGTGGCTGACTAAATACTTTTTTGCCCCACTGTATATATATAAAATAAATGAAAATAGTAGACCACACTCCTGAATCATGGAAGTGGGATAAATAGTTCAACTTTGGGTTTCTTTGTTTTGTTTTTTGGATTCTTCTTTTCTCCAGCTTAGAAATATAAGTACAGGTACAAGCACATCAAGCAAGAACATAAAGTTATATAAATGGCATCCGAAGTCTGCACAGGCACAGGAATGATGATAATAAAAAAAGGAATACAGGAATGAAAATCTCAGTCATTGTAGCCTTTTCTAAAAGCCTCTTTAAAGAAGAAAATACTCCCCTTATGCTAGGCAACTTTTCTAAAAAGTGCATTCCAGAAAGTCTGTGCCATCACGGAAAAAGCCCTGCTCCTTTGGCCCCCGTGCCAAACCTCAGGTAATGGTAGAAATGCAGAGCAAGACCTTTGTGGGCAAAGAAACAGCATCTGATGGGACCAATGGGTGGAAGGCCAATATTCTCTATTGATATGACAGACAGTCAGACAGAAGCTTTATTTTGGCCATTGACCAGTAAAAATATATTCAGTAAAACAAACAAAGCAAAGTTAACCCCTGTTTATATGTAATTTTCTCCTGTGGCATTTCATCTCTGTTCCCCCAGAAAGCCTGGACTGCAGATAGGCAAATGGCAGCCCCTGTGGATTTTGCTGCATGATGTCACTGCCTAATTTTCTTGCACAAAAAGCCAACTGTATCTCTAGGACTCTGCCAATATATTCACCACAAAGAAGAAATAGACTTGATTTAAATCCATATATCCATTGCCCGTCTACCTCACCCAGCTCTGTCCTTTCCCTGAAAATAGGGCAATAAATTAGTTTTTATGTGCCCCAAATATCAGACCAAGTCTATATATTGCACTATTCATGGATAATGCCCAAGGGGCTCTCCACCCACCAACATCCTCTAGAGTTTGACTCTGCAATGTACTTGCCCCTGAGCAACAAGAAGATCACTTGGGCAGTGAGGAGAGGTTGGGAGCAGAATGGACTTTTTGTTTGTGTTTTGCTTGTTGTACTAAAAATGGAATTTATCATGTAGGAGGGGAGTACTAGTTGGGGTGGGGCATAATTCCTGCCAAACTGCAGCAGTTGCTTTCCTTCAAGACATAGTGTTCAAAGTGTCAAGATTCCTTAGACTGACTATTGGAGTTTTATCTCATCATTTCCCAAATATTTTGGGTGGATTATAGCACTAATCAGTGAAACTATTCAGCAATAAAAGAAAAAAGGTCAAGACTCTGAGATAGACCCTGCACTTTGAAGATCTGCATAGCTCCATCAATGTCTGGTTTGCACATCACATGAAGCCATGATTTACCAAGCCAACATTTGTTCAATAAGAGGGAATTGGCTGAATTCGTAAAACAATTTAAAAGAAAATGAAACAGCTTTAACCAAAAGTAGCCAAGTGTCTTGGCTTTCGGAGTAATACTTCTAAATATCCATTTCTAATGCCTTACCTTTGATATTACAAATGCTTCATACAAGAGATATTATAGATGTCTTTTCTGAATTTACATCACATTTATTTAGGGGTGCATCAAAGAAAACAAAACACAAACACAAATACACAAACCAGGGAGACGATTATACCCAACTGCTCAATTAAAAGTGAACTTTGTGCCACTTTTTGAATAGTAAACTCTATAGCTGAGTCATATGTCGCACTAAACCACAATGTAGTTTATTTCTTAGCAGCTTCCCCCAACTTAGTGCCCTCCATATAATGCCGATCCATCACTGCATATCCATGAGAGTTTCCCCTTTCTGACAGTGATGGGCATGATAATGCACCAACTCTGGTGAAGGTTCATAAGCTGGTGAAGACTATTTGGCACTCATTTAAGTTAACAAATATACAATCAATTCATATTGCTTTAAAATGGTTGAAAGACGTAATCACTGAAACCCACATGCTACAAGACAAAATTACTTGCACTGCAGCCTAGAGGTGCTTTCTCTAACCTGGTGTCATCCAGA